CAAAATCAATAGGTCTTTTTTTTCCACGGAAAAGTGGAAAGACCTAATAATCAGAACAAAAGCAAAAGGTCTTTCCACAAAAAGTGGAAAGACCTAATAATCAGAACAAAAGAAAAAGGTCTTTCCATGAATAGTGGAAAGACCTAATAACGATCAATAACCCTTTACAATAAAATAGTTTTCCTTTTATTTTGAACCATTTTGGGATAAGCTGTTTCATATACAAGTGGACCTATCCAAATGGGTAAGACTTTATGTAAAAAGTTACAGAAGATGACTGTAAACAAGTGGAATTTTCATGTGTCATCAGTTGTAAGAAGATTTTTCGTCCATTTGATTATCAAAAGCAGGGTTATCTGACAAATAGGACAATTTCAGTAATGATAACTTAATTGTATTTTATTTTGCTAATCATTTTTGCTGTTTACAGTTTATTTAAATCTATTCTAGTTTTCAACATATACCCCCATGACATAGGTCTGTGCTATGCTCCTTTAGAACTTACACCAAAGATTAAGAAATGGCTTTTCCCTCTTTGTATTGGATACCTAAATTACATATGTGTACTTTCAAACAACATTATATTGCTGGGTCTTCCAAGTGCTCCATTCTAAATTATTACATACATTTTATCAGCAATCAAAGCTGGGCTTCAAAGTTATTGTGAAACTACCTACTCTAGGGGCAGCGTGAATCAGATGTGGATACTAAAAAATTCCAAAGATCTATTATAGTACATACAATCTAAGTCTTTTTTATCTTGCAATAGTATTAAAACATTTGACTTGTCTACCTTTTACGCAAGTATTCTCCATTCCAAACTAAAAGACAAATTGAAAGAATTGGTGCTGCTTTTTATCATAAAAGAGAATGGCCAACAAATATCTTGTCTTAGGGAGGGACACATCGTACTTTGTAATGTAAAAAAAATCACTAAGATTCAAACAAATAATTCTCTGAAACTAATGCTTGGTTTCTTGATTGAAAACAGATTTGATAAATTCGGAGTACCGGTACATGTTTTTCAACAAGCAATCAGCATTCCCATGGGAACCAACTGTGCTCCTCTTCTTGCCGACTTGTTCCTTTCCTTTATTCATATGAAGCTGACTATGAGGCATACAGGAGCTTCTTAGGAAGAATGAAAAGAAGATAGCATTATCCTTTAACTTCACTTTCCCCTATATAGTTGATGTTTTCTTGCTAAATAATTCAAAGTTTGGTGACTATGTTGAACACATCTATCCTATTGAACTTGAAATAAAGGATACAACAGATACATTTAAGATTGCCTCATATCTTTACTTACATCAAGAAATTGACAATGAGGGTTGAGAACAAAACTTTACGGCAAAAAAGAAGATTTCAGCTTCCCAATTGTGAACTTCCCTTTCTTATAAAGCAACATTCCAGCAGCATCTGCATATGGAGTATATATCCTAGTTTATACGATGTTCCAGATTGCATTTCCTATTAAGATTTCCTTGAAATTAGGTTGCTGCTAACAAGGAAGCTATTAAACCAAGTGTTCCAAGTGGTGAAGTTGAAATCATCCATTAAAAAAGTTAAGGGACGCCATCACGAGTTGGTTGACTGTTACGGAATATCTGTTTCACAGATGACAACTGGTATGTTCCAATTGTGGTAACCATAATCATGTCCTCTTCTACTCGAATGTGACCTACCCAATTAGACTTATCACTTGGTATGTACTTACATGGGCAACATGACGGGTGCCACTTGTGGAGCAGGATCTGCTTACCATTCAGGAACACGTGAGATCACTCGCTGTTTTTGGTGTGGTTTGTGTTGCTCAATCTTTAGTGTTCTATGTTGTTTTTCATACACTTTTTTTCTTCTGATCGCTTTTCTTTTTTTGCCATGGCATTGTCAGTTTGTTTTAGACTTAGATTAAATACATCTTGGGTATCTTTCACCTGTCTTTTTCAAGATAATTGGAAAAAACCCACAAACGTGGTAAAACTCATCATTTAAGGAAAATTATTCTTAAAAGGAATTTGTTTGATAATTTTGGTGGAAGTAGAAGGTAGGTAGATCTTGACATTCTGCACATTTTTTCCCCATGTTTGTATTATGATTTTCAATATAATAGACAATTACTTTCATTTGACCTTTTATGATCTATTTTTAGCCATTGCACCCATGATGAAAATATTTTAGGACAATGAACAATGGAAACCAAGTGATGGCAATAAGTCATAAGTCAAGTGAGCTAAAAGCCATTAAATTGGTAAAACAAATCTTCATTTAGGGACAACAACTCTTATAGGACTCATTTTACAAATTTTTAGGTAAATTTTTCCGACAGATTTTCTCTTTAATCCTTATTTTCTATTTTCAGTCAATTTTGGTTGATCCACAACATTGATAATTACAAACTATACCAAAGTTCAAGACAATGGATTCCAAGTCGATGGCAATAGCTCAATGGACCCTTGAATTAAGGCTAGCTAAAACGCCTGTAAATTAAGCACACTTGTAAACTAATAAGTAATAAAAAATATGCTTATTGAATTTTCTATGATAATTTGCCTGAATTACTACAGTCACACCTTCATAGGAAATGGTGAGATGATGATATTTTAACTAGAGGCTCTAAAGACCCTGTGTCTCTCACCTAGGTCTATGTGCATCTTCAACAATGAACACTCTCCAACATTGTAGACTAGAATATAATCCATGACTAAAATATATTTCTTGTTGAACCTGCATTGATGATTATATTTTTTTAGTTTTCTATCTATCTTCTATAGTTTTTGTCCAAAACACAAAAAGGGTAACAATCATCATTTAAGGACAACTGACAATTTCATCTATGGTGACCTATTTGCAGATCATGTCATGCTGACAATTTTTGCTTTTATTAATGCTTCTATCTATCTATTATAATTTTCAAGATAAAAGGAAAAAACACAAAAAATTTGTAAAAACTGTTATTCAACTCGAGCTCCTATAAAGAATAGACCAACAATTTCAGCAATATTGGATTATTTGTAGATCTTGCCATGTGGATCATTTTGCTATTTAAAGTTTCTCTCTTCCTATTATAGTTTTCAAGATAATAGACACCAAATCTTAAAAAAAATGGTAAAAATTATCATTAAAGGCAATAACTCCAATAACAAGTTGACTGAAGATTTCAGCAATATAGCTAGCTTATTTTGAAATCTCTTCTTGTCTTGCTGGTCATTTTTGCATTTTAAATTTTCTATCTATCTATTATAGCTTTCAAGATAATAGGTAAAATTGGTAAAAATCATCATTAAAAAGGAATGACTTCAATAAGGAGTTGACTGACAATTTTTGCCATCTTGACTTATTTGTAGATCTTGTCCTGCTGATCATTTTTGATCTTTGAACTTTCTATCTAACTTTAATAATTTTAAAGATAATAGGCAAAAACAAATAAATTGGTAAAATTTGTCTTTAAGGTGTATAAACTGAAAATGATAGAATTTGTTCATACTTTGCCAAAACGTAGTATATATTGTGATATGTTCAAAAATATAATAAAAATGATAGGTCACCGAGCTTTTTTTTAAGCTACAGGTTGTGAAAAAATGACACATTTTTTATGGATTATACAGGAAAAAACATCATTATGTGAATAGACGCTAAACTAAATGATAGAATTGTAAAATAAAATACGAGAAGATAACTTTTAGAAAATGATTTCAGAATATCATTAGAAAAGAGAGGGTCACCGTACGTTTTTTCCTGCTAAAACATAAAATAGCAAATAGACAATAGGTAGATCTCATAATTCTTAACATTTTTGCCCCTGGCAGATTTTTTCTATCTAAAGATAATTATTAGACAAAATGTGCATTTTACCCCTATGTTCTATTTTTAGCTATGTTGGCCATGTAAGGTGGAAGACAGGCTCATAGGACACATATTTTCAACAAATTATCCAAGGACGATTGTGGCCAAGTTTGGCTAAATTTGGCTCAATTAGTTTCAGAGAAGATTTTTGTAAAAGTAAACAAACAACAACAATGACAGACACCAAGTGATGGCATTAGCTCATACTTCCCATTCGGGTTAGGTGAGCGAAAAAATAAAATGATGATATGGACAACAGACATCACATGAAGGCAAACAGCACACAACTTTCCTTTTGGGATTATTTCAAAACAAAAAGGTACAGGGGTCTTGAAAAAAGGTGTACAACTTTTTTATTCACTTTATCTAAAAACAATTCTTGTAAACATTGGTGCTAAGATACAATGCATGATGTCTTCACAATAAATCCATTGGATGTGTACTGATTTATACTTTTCTTAAACACATGAATTTTTTATTAGTTTTTATTGGCTTTGAGCTAGCTTTCAGTATCTGCGAGTAATCTGTACTTTGTGTCTTTTGTGTTTTTGTAGGGTTTTTATATGCTTGTATGGATCTGATGAGTTAAGCCCTTTTCAACTGATAATTATAGTTTTTTCTTATGTTGTGTTGTTATACCACTGTCCCAGGTTAGGGGGAGGGTTTAGCACCAGCAACATGTTTAATCCCACCACATTCTGTATGTGCCTGTCCCAAGTCAGGAGCCTGTAATTCAATGGTTGTCGTTTGTTGCTGTATATTATATTTGTTATTTTTGTTTATTGTTTTGTACATAAATCATGCTGTTACTTTTCTCATTTGAATTGTTTTAAATTTGTTATTTCAGAGCTTTTTATAGCTTACTATGTGGTATGGGTTTTGCAGGCCATACAGTGACCTATAGTTGTTAACTTCTATGTAATTTGGTCTCTGGTGGAGAGTTGTCTCATTCACAACCATACCACATCTTCTTATTTTTATATTCTCATTTTTCATGATTAAAAATTACTATTTGAGGTCCTATATAAGTCTACAATAACAGATCTAATAGATTTAAATAATTGACAAGGACAGAAATTTGTAAAATAAAAGAACAACACTTTTCTTTCTATGACAGAGTCATCTTTCAACCCTTGCATATTAGACAAGTTTACCATGTGTTCTGGTCTGTGATCTTTCCTGATATTCTTCTGTTTACTTCTTGTTTTATGTTTTTTTCTTTTCTTTGGTATATAATATTCCTGAAAATCAAAAAGCAACAATCTATAATTTACTTAACATGCATATGTATATAATAATAATAATAATGACTTTATTTAAGGATGTCTTCTTCTGATGTTTCAGTCTCGTTGAAATCTCGTTCTGGAATTATTTCCAAAACGTGTGATACAAGTGGAAAATATCAATGAATTTAAAAAATATTATAATCAAGCTTAACTCTGTGAAAAAATTGTGGATTTACAATAAGTAGTAGTTTTTGAGTAATAGAATTTTCAAATTTTATAACCAATCAAGTCAGTCTCATTAGCCAAAATGTTGAGAAAATGGGTGAGGGGTACACAAAATGATTTTACCAGATACATGTGCATCCCATATCAATTTTTTCTTTTCAAATTTCTTAGATATGTATTTTTTCAATCATTTATAATAAAGAGGTTGAAATAATATGCATTTTGTTCTAAAAAAAGAGAAAAATCCCAAATTTACAAAATTGACAACATGGTAAATTTGACACGAAAAAGCAACAAAATTTTATAAAACTTTCTTATATTAACACCTACCTATAGTTTTTTTAAGTTAAATTTATTCCGATTGGTCCACTTCATCTTTAGTGAAAGTATAAAAAAAAGTTTGAATTGTGAAACTGTGATTTTTTTCATGATAATAGCCCAAAAATGGGAAAAAATAGATGAAAAATGGGAAAATCATCAAAAATGGGTACTTTCAATTGGCCTTAGCAAAAAAAGAAGTGCACCACCATATGATTTTTTCTTCCCCAATTATTTTTTTACAGTCATATAAACCCAACTAGAGGCTCTCAAGAGCCTGTGTCGCTCACCTGTATTTACTGATGCTTTGGAAATCATGTAAAATAAGGTTAAAATCATAATTAATAGTATTAGATATTAGATATTATAATGATATCTAAGATAATAACAAAAAACTGCAAAATTTTTGTAAAATTACTAACTCAGGGTCAGCAACCCAACAACGGGTCGTCGGATTTGTCTGAAAATTTCAGGGCAGATAAATCTAAATCTGATGAACATTTTTGCCACCTTGTCAGATTTGCTCTAAATGCTTTAGTTTCAGAGATATAAACCAAAAACTGCATTTTACCCCTATGTTCTATTTTTAGCCATGGCGGCCATCTTGGTTGGTTGGCGGGGTCATCGGACAATTTTTTTAATCAAGATACCCTAATAATGATTATGGCCAAGTATGGTTAAATTTGTATCAGTAGTTTCGGAGAAGAAGATTTTTGTCGAGCCTTCGACTTTTGTCGAAAAAGCGAGACATAGCGATCCTACATTCCGTCGGCGTCGGCGTCGTCGTCGTCGTTGTCGTCGGCGGCGTCCACAAATATTCACTCTGTGGTTAAAGTTTTTGAAATTTTAATAACTTTCTTAAACTATCCTGGATTTCTACCAAACTTGGACAGAAGCTTGTTTATGATCATAAGATAATATTCAAAAGTAAATTTTGTAAAAAAAAAATTCCATTTTTTCCGTATTTTACTTATAAATGGACTTAGTTTTTCTGCCAAGAAACATTACATTCACTCTGTGGTTAAAGTTTTTGAAATTTTAATAACTTTCTTAAACTATCCTGGATTTCTACCAAACTTGGAAAGAAGCTTGTTTATGATCATAAGATAGTATCCAGAAGTAAATTTTATAAAAAAAAAAATCCATTTTTTCCGTATTTTACTTATAAACGGACTTAGTTTTTCTTCCAGTTAACATTACATTCACTCTGTGGTTAAAGTTTTTAAAATTTTAACAACTTTCTTAAACTATCCTGGATTTGTACCAAACTTGGACAGAAGCTTGTTTATGATTAAAAGCTAGTATCTAGAAGGAAATTTTGTTAAAATTTTGTTCCATTTTTTCCGTATTTTACTTATAAATGGACTTAGTTTTTCTTCCAGTTAACATTACATACAGTCTACAGTTTAAGTTTTTAAAACATTGATTAGATTCATAAACTATCCTGGATTTTTACCAAACTTGGACAGAAGCTACTTACAATCAAAAGATAGTATAGAGAGGAATATTTTTATTAATTTTTTTCCTCATTTTTGTTGAGCCTGTGATTAACAGCAAAAGTAGGCGAGACACTGGGTTCCGCGGAAACCCTTACAAATTTTTGTAAAAGATAACAAAAATTTACGAAAAATTGTTAAAAATTGATTATTAAGGGCAATAACTCCTAAAGGGGTCGACTGACAATTTTGGTCATATAAACTTATTTGTAGATCTTACTTTGCTGAACATTATTGCTGTTTACAGTTTATCTTTATCTATAATAATATTCAAGATAATAGCCAATAAAATGCTTCGCTGGGGCGCAGCTTGATACGACCGCAGAGGTCGAAACCCTGAACAGTTGGGGCAATTATGGACACAACATTCAAGCTTGATACAGCTCTGAATTTGGATTGTTATTAAATATTTGACACAGCATTGGTTTCTGACACAGAAAGAATGTGGTCTAAGAACTTGAACTTTTTTTAATTTACCTATTATGGTCCAATGTCCAAAATCAAAATACATGGTTAGATTCAGCATATCAAAGAACCCCATATATTCAATTTTTGCTAAAATCAAACAAAGTTTAATTTTGGACCCCAACTTTGACAAACTTGAAAACTGGGCCCATAATCAAAAATTTAAACACGTGTTTAGATTCAGCATATCAAAGAACCCCAAGAATTCAAATTTTGCTAAAATCAAACTAAGTTTAATTTTGGACCCTTTGGACCTTAATGTAGACCAATTTAAAAAACGGGACTTAAAATTAAAAATCTAAATACACTGTTAGATTTGGAATATCAAAGAACCCCAATAATTCAATTTTTGATGAAATCAAACAAAGTTTAATTTTGGACCCTTTTGACCTCAATATGAACCAATTTGATAGCGGGGCCCACAAATAAAAAATCTAAATTCATGGTTAGATTCATCATATCAAAGAACCCCATATATTCAATTTTTGTTGAAATCAAACAAAGTTTAATTTTGGATCCCAACTTGGACCGACTTGAAAACTGGGCCCATAATCAAAAATCTACACATGTTTAGATTCAGCATATCAAAGAACCCCAAGAATTCAATTTTTGTTAAAATCAAACTAAGTTTAATTTTGGACCCTTTGGACCTCAATGAAGACCAATTTAAAAAACGGGACCCAAATTAAAAATCTAAAATCACGGTTAGATTTGGCATATCAAAGAACCCCAATAATTCAATTTTTGATGAAATCAAACAAAGTTTAATTTTGGACCCTTTTGACCTCAATATGGTAAATTTGACACGAAAAAGCAACAAAATTTTATAAAACTTTCTTATATTAACACCTACCTATAGTTTTTTTAAGTTAAATTTATTCCGATTGGTCCACTTCATCTTTAGTGAAAGTATAAAAAAAAGTTTGAATTGTGAAACTGTGATTTTTTTCATGATAATAGCCCAAAAATGGGTAAAAATAGATGAAAAATGGGAAAATCATCAAAAATGGGTACTTTCAATTGGCCTTAGCAAAAAAAGAAGTGCACCACCATATGATTTTTTCTTCCCCAATTATTTTTTTACAGTCATATAAACCCAACTAGAGGCTCTCAAGAGCCTGTGTCGCTCACCTGTATTTACTGATGCTTTGGAAATCATGTAAAATAAGGTTTAATTAAAAATCATAATTAATAGTATTAGATATTAGATATTATAATGATATCTAAGATAATAACAAAAAACTGCAAAATTTTTGTAAAATTACTAACTCAGGGTCAGCAACCCAACAACGGGTCGTCGGATTTGTCTGAAAATTTCAGGGCAGATAAATCTAAATCTGATGAACATTTTTGCCACCTTGTCAGATTTGCTCTAAATGCTTTAGTTTCAGAGATATAAACCAAAAACTGCATTTTTGTTATCTTTTACAAAAATCTTCTTCTCCGAAACTACTGATACAAAAATTTAAACACGTGTTTAGATTCAGCATATCAAAGAACCCCAAGAATTCAAATTTTGCTAAAATCAAACTAAGTTTAATTTTGGACCCTTTGGACCTTAATGTAGACCAATTTAAAAAACGGGACTTAAAATTAAAAATCTAAATACACTGTTAGATTTGGAATATCAAAGAACCCCAATAATTCAATTTTTGATGAAATCAAACAAAGTTTAATTTTGGACCCTTTTGACCTCAATATGAACCAATTTGATAGCGGGGCCCACAAATAAAAAATCTAAATTCATGGTTAGATTCAGCATATCAAAGAACCCCATATATTCAATTTTTGTTGAAATCAAACAAAGTTTAATTTTGGACCCCAACTTGGACCGACTTGAAAACTGGGCCCATAATCAAAAATCTAAACACATGTTTAGATTCAGCATATCAAAGAACCCCAAGAATTCAATTTTTGTTAAAATCAAACTAAGTTTAATTTTGGACCCTTTGGACCTCAATGAAGACCAATTTAAAAAACGGGACCCAAATTAAAAATCTAAAATCACGGTTAGATTTGGCATATCAAAGAACCCCAATAATTCAATTTTTGATGAAATCAAACAAAGTTTAATTTTGGACCCTTTTGACCTCAATATGAACCAATTTGATAGAGGGGCCCACAAATAAAAAATCTAAATACATGGTTAGATTCAGCATATCAAAGAACCCCATATATTCAATTTTTGTTGAAATCAAACAAAGTTTAATTTTGGACCCCAATTTGGACCAACTTGAAAACTGGGCCCATAATCAAAAATCTAAATACATGTTTACATTCAACATATCAAAGAACCCCATATATTAAATTTTTGTTGAAATCAAACAAAGTTTAAATACTGGACCCTATCTTGGACCAACTTGAAAACTGGGCCCATTAAAAAATCTAAACACATGTTTAGATTCAGCATATCAAAGAACCCCAAGAATTCAATTTTTGTTCAAATCAAACTAAGTTTAATTTTGGACCCTTTGGACCTTAATGTAGACCAATTTAAAAAACAGGACCCAA